TCGCAGTTATTTATTTTATTTCATTTGAACAAATGATTATAATTATAATAGCGCAATACCATTGCAGTGTTATAATATTGCAACGTTTACGATGAAAGTTACGATATTTCAAGACCTTTACTGGCGATTGTAATAGTTTAATGACAACTTATCAGGTGTAGGAATGAAAGAATTTGAAAGGTGTTGATGAAAGACATTAGTGAAGGTGCAGAGGATCGAGGTGTCTGCGTGGTGGTTGACGGTACTTCAGGTTTTATTGTGAAGATTAGCGGTCTTTCATGTTCCTCTGCGGTGGTTGACTGTATTTCGGGTTTATGCGTGGTGATTGACGTCGTTTCAGGTTTCTGTGTGGTTAACGCTGAAATTATCCCAGTTAACAATGATAATATTAAATGTTGTAATGACCGTAACTGAGAGAACTAAGCAATGATCAAACAGAATTCAAGTAAATGAAATATAAAAGTGACTGGACGTGTCATTACATTCACTTAATGTATGGATACAAAATTTATGTTGACTCACACTCAGCAATGAATTTATCAACTTGTTTGCCAATGAACAGTCTCGTATCAATTAACGACTGTTTATCGTGCGGACTTGAGGGATACATATCTGCACAGTGCGTAGTATCTGAATTTGGAAGTGAATTTTGTGGTCACTTTATTGCAATATTACCGTTTTTAATCCCATCATTACTGTTGCCGTTATTATAACTGATATCGGTTCACCATTCGGCTCCGAACAAAACTTTCCTCCGCGAATGAGAGTCGAAGCCGCGACGTACCAATTACCGCTTGGGGCTCTGCCTCTGATCTATCGCATAGATCATTCAGCATCCGCCGAGTAATTGTGTTAAGATCGCGACCAGTTCTTCAGCGGATTCGACTTCGCTTCGCGGTGAAAAGTTTTGCTTGAAATTGAGTGGTGGGCCAAAATCATTGATGTTGCGAGACTGAGCCGAGCTACGATTTGGCTCGTATCTAATTATTTGTTATTACTCATTAATATTACTGCTATTATCAATCAAATTGATATTATTATTGGTTTTACTATTAATACTATTGTTATTGATAAATCACCCTAAAGTCAGATAAAAATGACAAAAATGTTGAAAATAAACATGCCTTCAATTTCTAATGTCCAGACATTACCAGTTTGATTTTTCCTATAACCTAACGATTCCCATGAATCAAGCCATCCATTCGTGAATACCGTATTCGTTCCCTCAAATACCGCACTCCATCATATTATGCTCACATTTCAGTGAATATTTTTAGGACCACCACCAAAACAGTTCAGTGTTTTCTTTCAGAAGAGAAGATTTATACAAGAAAACTCAAAAAGAATGAGTTCTTGTAAGTTCTCAATCCATTTACAAACATGAATGATCAATTTACAAACATTAAATTTATCAGACCCTCCATACTTCAATCTCGTTCTCGCCGTTCCACTACTGCAAATGTCAGCGTTGAACCACAGATGAAATATATAGTTGCACTGGCGAAAATAGAAACTAAATTAGAGCTTTATTCTTATCGTTATTTGTTATCGTTACTATTTATTACTATCATTAATATCATCATTATTTTCATAGTTATTTAATTAATTATTTTAATGTCCATTGTTATTATTATGGTTAATTATTATTTATAATAATAATAA